CCCTATGTTGTAAGCTTGAAAGCATGTTGCAACATGACCTATTTGATAATTTGAGAATTATACTTATTTTCGTAACAATTACATATCATAATTCGTTTTAATAATAATAGTTATATATATAATTATTTATAATTTCTATGTTGTAAGCTCGAAAGCATGTTGCAATTATTTTCTCGATAAAACGTATTATTAAACGACTGCTTTAAAATGAAAATACCGCTGACCCGAAAGACTGGCAACGCCTGATCTAGCGCGAACTATCCGGAATCCTGCTGCATCGAATCCGAGAGCAGGGTAAGATTGATAAACCCTTTCAGCGGCAGAAAGCTAAGACTAAAGGGACGCGGTCTCGTCAAGAGAGACAGAGTCCCATCAGAATGCCAGAAACGCGGCCACTCGTCTTCGCGGGTCTCGCAGAGAAGGAAGAAGACGTCCAAGGGGGTGTCTGGCAGCCCTAATGCGACGTATCAATATACGTGGGTGCCGGTGATGGGCCAATATCGCATAAGTGGCCCGATTCGCCGTCATTTGTTACGTTTTGTTCGGTCTAAGTAATTTAAGAGTCACCCTTTGCTCGCCGCCCTCTTCGCGGAGGAAACCCGGCTCTGGCAGGGGCCGAGTCGGGTGGCTCTGCGAGGGACAAGGATCCTCCGGATAACAGGGGAGAGGGGCGGAGTGGAGCGACGTGGGGTGGCCGGGTGCACTTCGCCTCCATTCTTCGGCAAATCGCGGCATATTTGTCAGATTTTTGTTCGGGAACAAAACCTCGACGACCTTCCTTCCTCGGCCGAGGGCGTGCGGGGGGGGGGGGGGGGGGGGGCTGGGTGCCGGGGGTTGGGAGTTAAGTGGATTGGTTTCGTTAGAGATCGGCAAGAGCGTCTGAACGCGACCGACTTAATTCGAACCAACCCCGGGCAGACACTAGATCTCACGACTTCCGATCCGCGACCAGCGACTTCCCTTTCCTGCCAGGGGGTAGTTTTTCCCCGCGCGCCTTTCTTCGGCCAGTCGAGAAACTATTCATTCGTTTTCTAATTGATTTGTCCTCCGATATGGATCTCGGAGCAATTTGCATCGATTTCATTCCAGTCGGGGGTGTAGTAAATTCTTGAACGAGAGAAGGGTAGATGCTGTGATTCTATTTATGTTTCGACAGTATTGGAGATACACATAATCGAGTAGTAATAGTAGTTAATATACGCTAGTAATATATGCGATATTAATAAATTTATTAATAAATGACCGAACGTTTAGATTTTATATATATATATATCCAATTTAAATAATTTTCAACACAGATACAATATAGATTTCACATGAAAAT